ATCATCTGAAGACATGGGCAGATGGATTGGAATTCTGTTAGCTGAAACTGGTTCATCTACAGACCCTGGAGCTCTGCACTATGACTACATTGATGTGGAGATGACTGCAAGTGTCATACAAGCTGCAAAGCAGACCTTCTGGTAAGATGCTTAAACCAAATAAGGGCATTTCCTGTAATTTCAGAATTGACAGTTTTTGTTAATTCCAGCGCCAGGAGGCCTTATCAGATTTCCCCTCTCTGCTTACTATAACAGTCATGAAGGTTGAAGTCCTGAGTGCCTCAGTATGGTAGATGTGTTTATGATTATCTTGCTGGCATTCTGTTCAGTTTGGAAGGAAGGCAAAATATATCCAATTTTATGACGTATTACAATCTTTGCTTTTTATATCAAATGAGTTTAATAATTAGGTGCTATATTTTTCTCCCCGAAGTCACCACTTTAAAAGGCAAGGTATACTGAAGACGGATCACAGTTCAGTTGTATAGCTTGCATTGGCTTTCTTCATTTTCCAAGTCTAAACAGAAGTAATGTAAATGTAAAAAAATAGTTTAACCCTTGACTTCTTGTAACCTCGGTGTTTCCCTAATTCTGATAAATTTTTGATAAATGAAAAGCTTGATAGAACTATAAAATTAAAACCGAGATTTTTTTTTTTTTTAAGAAAGGTTCATGTGTAAATTAAAGCTTCAGTACAGATTTTCTTAAAATGTTCCTCAGCAAAGGTCCTATGCCATCTACTCAGAAAAGGTGTGTGTGTGTGGTGATTTATATATTCAAAGCATTCTACAAAACTCAAACCCGTGTTGCATTTGCTGTGACACTTTCTAGTTAGCATTCTAGGATGGATGACTACTTAGGGGTGAAGAAACTCCCTTTCTAAAACAACTGTCTTTGTTTACTAAGTCCATATAAAGGGTAATTGGCAAGATGCTTTACTAGGACTTTATTGACTTGTGTAACAAGTGGGTTGTCCTGGGGCTGGTCCAGATGTTGGCCCACCCATTTGTCTAGGGCACTCCACTCATCTGCCTCTCCTGCCACGCCTTTTATGTTATTTAAGTTGTTCCCAGGCAGGAGGCTGCCCATTTCATTGCCCTGATGCCAAGGGCGAATATACAACTCCGAACATTCCTTTATACCATGTCCTATGCCTCGCAGCTGGCATCCACATCCACTAATACTCCCCTGGCCCCTTTGCTGGGCCACTCTCAGCCTCACCAAACCCAAACTTGGCCTCAGACATCCTCAGACCTACCTGAGCCCCCTGCCCCACACACTGGGGCTTCTTCCCATTCACCCACACTGGGATCTCAACACCTGGCTCCCTCACTGAATTTCTGGGCCCAATGCCCCTTAAACCTCAGGCCTCACTCAGTGGCCCTGGGCCCTGTCTCAGGTCCCCTTCTCTTGGCCTGGACCCCATCTCAAACCCCACTCAGGGGGATTTGGCCCTGTCCTTTTCTGTCAGGGTGTGCTCCCCTCGCCTTTCCCCTCCAGAATATACAACTCCGAACATTCCTTTATACCATGTCCTATGCCTCGCAGCTGGCATCCACATCCACTAATACTCCCCTGGCCCCTTTGCTGGGCCACTCTCAGCCTCACCAAACCCAAACTTGGCCTCAGACATCCTCAGACCTACCTGAGCCCCCTGCCCCACACACTGGGGCTTCTTCCCATTCACCCACACTGGGATCTCAACACCTGGCTCCCTCACTGAATTTCTGGGCCCAATGCCCCTTAAACCTCAGGCCTCACTCAGTGGCCCTGGGCCCTGTCTCAGGTCCCCTTCTCTTGGCCTGGACCCCATCTCAAACCCCACTCAGGGGGATTTGGCCCTGTCCTTTTCTGTCAGGGTGTGCTCCCCTCGCCTTTCCCCTCCACAAGGTCATTCTCAAGGCAGCTAGGACTGAGACTTTCTGGTGCCCCATACTTGCCTTTCACTGGGGAGGCACAGGTGCGGCATTCCCTGGAGACTGCCCTGCCACAGGCAGCCCTACCACACCATCCAGCCCCCCAGCAGGGTGTAGTTTTAGCTCATGCCCCAGGACCAGGAACCTCTTCCATCCCCATAGTTACTACCCTGAACCTCCAAGCTGTTCTGGGAGCAGCAGCCGGCTGGGTGATGTTGCTTCTTCAGCTCCCTGCAGCAACTCTCCACTCTGCTCTTGGGGTCTACCCTTATACCCAGGCTCCCAGACTCTCCACCAATCAGGTGGCCTCCTGCCTAACACGTGACTGCCTGATTGGACCTGCTGCCACGTGCAGGCTGCTTACTGCCTGCTCAGACCCCTTAGTGACATGCACAACCTGTGCTCTGCCACAACTTGTTCCTGCAAGATGTTGGCCCTTCTCATCTCCCAGTCAAATTAGTTGGATGCACTTTTTCATAGAATAGAACCCTTTCATAGAATAAAAACCCTTAAATCCATAGTACATTTTAATTAAAAAATGCATAAATGGCATAATGTATACAGAAATGGCATGAAGGTACATAATGTACCCTCATCAGCTCACTGTCAGAAGAAGTACCACATGAAAAAATATGGAGCTTCATTCATAGACTAGTTTGAATGATTGATAGAAATCAGAGATGATGCATCTTTTGCCACAATCCCACTTCTGTTAAATCCAAGTTACTTTGACATAATCATAATTCATTTACTTTTTTATAGTTACATTAATAGTGCTTTTGAAGGTAATAAGGCTCAAAAACGTTATTTTATGTCAACATGTATTTTTGCTTCAATCAGCATGCAATGATAACCACATTTAAGAAAGAAAGAGAATGGAAACATTTTCCCCTGAATAATGCTTGGCTTTCATTTTATAACAAATGTGATATTAATTGAAACCAAGTGAAAAAACAAATGCAACTAAACCACATATTAGAAAGGAAAGACAAGCCTAACTTGCAAAATAACAAAAATCCCCTTTTGAAAATTTATTTAAATGAGTTGTCTGTCATTGAAAGCAAATATAAGGGTTTATCATAAACAACTTAAAGCACTTCCTGTCTGATTTCCAATCTAATCATTTGTATAAAATTAAAAGAAAAAATGAGAAAAAGTTAATAATATTAAATCCTAATAAAACTAATACCAGTATTTCAGTTAACTGTAACTTTAATTTACTTTGATAATATTTAAAAATGTTTAAATAAGTGTTTAATACCTAACATTTATGATTTTCCTGGGTTTCATACCTTGCAGAATTATTAGGTAGTATTGAGGATTAAGTTTGATGAAAGTTATGAAATGTTTAGGATGGCAAAAGAAAAATGAATTATGGACATTTTATTAATTTCCTGCCTATCAGTAAAATTACAAGCAAAATTGTTGATTGTATTTGTTTTACATTCACTTATCTGGGAACAGAGAAGGTGATCCTTTCTTAAGCAATATAGATAAACAACTTGGAAATATTTAATGCAAATTTCAAAGTGATCATTTGGCTAATACAGTTAGCAACAGTGATGAAGTGGCAAGAACTCAGCTGTACCTAATAACCTGACCCTTAAAGTACTGAATGAAATGCTCTCCAAACTATAAGAGATTTATCTCTGAGAATTCAAAGAGGTCAGATAAGGTCACAAAAGACTGGACAAGACAACTATCTTTAAAAGGGAAAAAGGAGGACTCAGGAAATTATAGACCAGTCAACCTACCTTTAGTTCTCTGGAAATAAATTTATTTGGATATTTGTTCCATCCATCTGTAAGCATCTAGAGCAGCTGTTAGCAGTGTTTTGCAGCAGCAAGCCAAATCACCCTATCTCAGGTCCAAGGCAGGCTAGTACTTCAGACTGGTCACTGCTGCCACTTTTCCCAGGCATCTGGAAGCTGACACAGGGAAAAGTGGCAGTGGTAGCAGCGAATGTGTCTGAAGCTGCACAGCTGGATCTCGTCATTCTGTAGGCTGGATTTGGCCTGTGGGCTCTATATTGCCAGTCCATGACCTAGGAGATAACAAGGGACTGAGTAATAGCCAGCATGCCCAGAGCCTGAGTTCAGAAAGTGACAGAAAGATTAAAGAGTTTGAGGTTCAGATGGTGGTCTCATCAATCCTCCCTGTTAAAAGTAAAGTCCTGGACAAGAATCATAATATCAGAGAAGTTAACTCATGGCTACCAAAGTAGTATCAGCATGAAGGCTTTAGTTTCGTTGACAATGAGTAGATGATTGTTGAAGAAGGATTACTCTGCAGAGAAGGGATCTACCTAGTAAAGATTGAAACAAGCATCTTTGGACATCATCTGACTAATCTGGAGAAGCAGGCTTTAAAATGGGCCCTATAGAGGATGGTGGAGAAAAGCCCACTAGCCAATGTGGCTGAAGGGATGAGGTGAAGAAACGGTGCTTAATTGTGGAGAATGGATGGGAAAATGTAATAGAGTTAGATACAAGAGGAAAAACATTTGATAGTCTGAAGACATCCTTCACATCCGTGTACCAATGCAAAGAATGTGGGGAACAAGCAAGATGAACTGGAAGTCACAGTATGTAAAGAAAAGTATGATTTAATGCCATTACAGAAATGTGGACATCACTCCCACGACTGGAGTATCATCACTGGGGGGTGTAGCTTGCTGTAGAGGGACAGATTCCTGAAAAAGGAAGAGGCGTTACACTGTATGACAGGAACACATTGTGCTTGCTCATATGTCGAGGAAGAAGTGATCATCATATCCTTGGAATGAAGATAAAGAACAGCTGTGATGTGATACTGGGGCCTTACTATATAGACCATCAAATCCTGATGAGTAGGAAGATGAGGCCTTCTTCAGATGAGCAGGGAATCCAAAACATACAAGCTAGTCAGAATGGAGGATCTTAAATTTGCTTTTATTTGTTGGAAGAAAAATACAACAAAATATAAATGTCCAGGTTCAACTCCCCTTACGTGGATAAATATCACCTAGATTTCAGTAAGGTTTTTGACAGTGTCCTACAAACCATTCTCTCACGTAGGCTAGAGTGTCATGCTCTAGATAGAATTGTATTAGATTAGTTGATTAGCCTCAAGGAAATTATAACTGTTAAGGGCTAGATGTCAGGCAAATAGGAGATCTGAAATGGGGTTCCTTAGAGGTCCAGAGTTTTTCTTTGTATTAATGAGTTACTTGCAGGGAGAATATAT